GGGGAGCAGGACTGAGTCGGGCAGTGCAGCTCCCAGGCCGCTGCTGCCCCCCAGGACACTCCTGTCCCGTGCGAGTCAGTCCGGCTGTGGCTCCACCACGTGCTTGACCAGCGCGCAGGATCATGGACCGGGCTGCCCCTCCTCCTTCTCACATGCAACCAGGGCTCCCAGCGCTGAGCACACCCCGCCTCCTAGTCACTCCCCCGCCCCTGCCAGGCTTCTGTCCAGCGCCCAGCCAGAAAACCAGGAAATACTGGACATTGCACATGTCTGGTATTTTCTGGATTTTTTTTACCGGACAGAGGGCCCAAAAACTGGACTGTCCAGTAGAAAACCGTTGCTTACCTGGCAACCCTAGGCAGGGCGAGGAAGTGCGGACCAGCTGGGGGTTGTCCAGTGTGGAAAGTGGAGCAACCCTAACCTGGGGCCCAGATTGGCTAGTCGGGTTGATTTCACCAAGGAAGTGGGGGCTCTTTTTGAGGCAGGATTTCTGTGGTTGCTCTTCTCTTGGCAAGAGCTGCTCTGGGTGCATTGAAGCTGCGCTAAACGTCAAGGAGTTGGGTCCCTGGGTATTTCAGGGTGTGGAGGGAGGGAGACGGGGGCTTTACATTTTTAATTCCTAAAACATAAAACGGGACAAAGTTTTGGCTGGGGTTGGGGTTTGAGCCATTTACTTTCATCGTGTTAAGTGGAATCGTAACATATTAGAACCAGGCTGGGCAGTCTCAGCAGAGCAGAAAGGGCCCGTCAAACCCATTGTGCATTTCTAATCCCCTGGCTCTGACACAGAGTTTGTTGTCAATTTCACTGTGGTTTGTTTGCTCACTGCAGGGTGGGTTCCCACGTCTGGGAAGAAGGCAGCACAGGAGAAGGCACAGGGCTGAGAATGAGAGAAAGGGCTTGGAAGCGACAGAAGGGGAGGCCAGGTGCAGCAGGAGGGGAGCAGCAGCATGTGTATATGGGGGAACACAAGGAAGCAGCTTGCGCAGAGCCAGAGGGAGGAGACACGCACCACAGTTCGGGTGGGCCTGGTGCCCTTCAGAGCTGAACTACCTGACGCGCCAGTGAACAGCCTTTGCTTTACTCAGTGATGCATCTGACCAAGTGGGTCTTTGCCCACGAAAGCTTCTGCTCCAGTAAATGTGTTTGTCGATGAGGTGCCGCAGGACTCCTCGGTGTTTAGGCTTCACTCGGGTGCATGTTCCCACCAAGGGGGGTCAGCGCAGTGCGCCCCTGAACGGTCATTCCGGGGCGATCCCCGCAGCTTTCGGAAAGGCGTGCGAGCCTGGGCTGCTCCCGGGGGGCGGGGCTTGCAGAGCGCGCGAGGAAAATCCCCACGGAGTGAATGGGGCTGTTGAAAAAGTGCTTCCTTTTGTTTGTTTTATAGATGCCTATTATTTTAATCAGGAGACATCTGTTGGGTTATGTGAAGAGGTAAATATTTTCTACAACATTCATGATGTTATACACCTCTATTGTATCCCCTCCTTAGTTATCTTATCTAAAAAGAATAGTCCCAACCTTTTTAACCTCCCTTCCTATGACAATGGTTCCATATCCCTAATGATTTTTCTTGCCCTTCTCTGTACTTTTACAATTCTCTCTTTGAGATGAAGTGAGAAGAACTGCACACAGAATACCAGGTGTGGGCATACCATAGGTTTATACAGCAGTACTAAGATTTCTTATCTCTCTCTTCCCTAAGGCTACATCTACAAAGCAGACTTTTTGCACAAGAACTGTTTTGTGAAAGAGTTCTTGTGCAAAAGGTCTTCCACAAGAGCGCATCCACACTGCCATGTGCTTTTGTGGAAGAGATGCGCTTTTGTACAAGAGCATCCATGGCAGTGCCGATGCTTTCTTGCACAAGACAGCTTTGATAGCCATTTTAGCCATAGGGCTTTCTTGCGCACGAAACCCGTTGTCAGTGTACACTGCCTTCTTGTGGAAGAGTTCTTGTGCAGGAAGGCTTATTCCTTTTTGGGGAGAGGAATAGCTCTTGCGCAAAAAGCCCTGTTTTCTGACGCTTTACTGTACATTTACTTGCGCAAGAATGCGCATGCAGTTTAGACGCTCTGCAAGTTTCTGTGCAAGAATGGCTGTGCTCGTGCAAAAAGCCTGCAGTGTAGACGTAGCCTAATAGTAGCTCGTTCCATTAAAGTCAGATAACCACTAGATTAGTGACGTGAACCGCTGTCGACTATCTGATAAGCAAATCAGAGGGGTCGCCGTGTTAGTCTGAATCTGCAAAAGCGGGGAGGGGTCCTGTGGCACCTTATAGCCTCACTGCAGTGTGGGAGCAAAGACCCACTTCGTCACATGCATCTGGGTCCTTGCCCACGAAAGCTTCTGCTCCCACGCTGCAGTGAGTCTATAAGGTGCCACAGGACTCCTCGCCGCTTTTGCAGATTCAGACTAACACGGCGACCCCTCTGATTTGCTTATCAGATAGTCGACAGCGGTTCACGTCACTAATCTAGTGGTTATCTGACTTTAATGGAACGAGCTACTATTAGGCTACGTCTACACTGCAGGCTTTTTGCACGAGCACAGCCATTCTTGCACAGAAACTTGCAGAGCGTCTAAACTGCATGCGCATTCTTGCGCAAGTAAATGTACAGTAAAGCGTCAGAAAACAGGGCTTTTTGCGCAAGAGCTATTCCTCTCCCCAAAAAGGAATAAGCCTTCCTGCACAAGAACTCTTCCACAAGAAGGCAGTGTACACTGACAACGGGTTTCGTGCGCAAGAAAGCCCTATGGCTAAAATGGCTATCAAAGCTGTCTTGTGCAAGAAAGCATCGGCACTGCCATGGATGCTCTTGTACAAAAGCGCATCTCTTCCACAAAAGCACATGGCAGTGTGGATGCGCTCTTGTGGAAGACCTTTTGCACAAGAACTCTTTCACAAAACAGTTCTTGTGCAAAAAGTCTGCTTTGTAGATGTAGCCTTAGGGAAGAGAGAGATAAGAAATCTTAGTACTGCTGTATAAACCTATGGTATGCCCACACCTGGTATTCTGTGTGCAGTTCTTCTCACTTCATCTCAAAGAGAGAATTGTAAAAGTACAGAGAAGGGCAAGAAAAATCATTAGGGATATGGAACCATTGTCATAGGAAGGGAGGTTAAAAAGGTTGGGACTATTCTTTTTAGATAAGATAACTAAGGAGGGGATACAATAGAGGTGTATAACATCATGAATGTTGTAGAAAATATTTACCTCTTCACATAACCCAACAGATGTCTCCTGATTAAAATAATAGGCATCTATAAAACAAACAAAAGGAAGCACTTTTTCAACACCATGTACCATTAACCTGGGGAACTCATTGGCAGGGAATGTTGTGAAATCCAAAAGATGCATCAGTGGCTTTGAACCAGCATGGTCAGGGATCCAACCCCATGTTTTGGGTGTCCCTAAACTTCTTGACTGCCAGAAGCAGGGACTGGACAATGGGCTGGAGCACTTGAAAATTACCCCATTCTGTTAATTTTTTCTGAAGCATCTGGCACCAGCCACTGCTGGAAGACGGGATACTGTGCTACTGTAGTTGGACCACTGGTCTGACCTTGCATGGCCATTCTTATATTAAATGAACTGGACAGATGTCAGTCCTTTGTTTGAACAGGTGACCCTGTAAACCAGGGGCGGGGAAACTTTTTTGGGTTGGGGGCCACTGATCCACAGAAAAATAGGTGAGGGCCTCTCACAAGTGTGAAGAAAAACAAAACCCAAAAAACCTCACAAACCCAAACACTGAAGACCCCTCACTCCCCTTGTACTCCAGACCCAGGACTGGATTGACTCTTCTGTGGGCCTGGGGCTAGTAGATTTTGTGGGGCCCCCATAGGCTCTAGGATGGGGCCAAAAATGAGGGGCTCTGTGTGGGAGGCAGCAGGCAGGAGGTGTGGTATCTGGGAAGGAGGTAGGGTGCAGGTACGGGCTGGGAGGAAGGGGACTGGGGCGCCTATCTGGTGCAGCTTCTTACCACCATGGACTTGGAAACACTGCGCTGATACTCCTATTGGCCACAATTCCTGGCCAGTAGGAGTAATGGGGAAAGAACCTGCAAGCAAGCACAAGGACAGCTTTCCTGAGCTAGGGCTTGCCTTGGTCCAGCCCACGAGGCTCAGGGTTCCCCCGCACACAGCAGGGTGAGCTTCACTCTGCTGCCAGGAGGGGGAAGGGGAGCCCTGGGGTTCTCTGTCCCTGCATACACAATACACCATTGCATTTGGCAGCGCTAGCTGCCTTTTTATCAAGTCACAGCAGAAAAACCAAGGACTGAATTCCTTCTCCCCCCCCTTCTCAGAGGTGTTGAGTACTGGTATTGAGTATTAGGGGGGTCTGAGGGATAGGGGTAGGCAAGGGTCCCATGTTCTGTGTCTGGATAGGCTTCTGACTACAGGGCTGTCCATCTGGCATGTAGAGCATTACACAGTGTGTGCACAGCAAATAGGTTCATAGTTGGGGACATATCACGGCAGTCCGGTATTTTTAAACAAAGGAGATAATCGCCCTGGAGAGGAGAGTTTGTTCCCTAAGGCTACGTCTACACTGCAGCTCTTTTTGAAAAGCTATGCCACATCCAAGGAACACATCCGCTTTTCCGAAAAAACCTTAGAAAAGCAGATGCATTCTTTGGCCAGCCCTGTAAACCTCGTACGAGGAAGAAGGGATGTGCCGAAAGAGGAGGGTTTTCCTAAATTTGGCACTGTGCAGATGCACCAAATTTTGGAAAAGCCTCTTCCAAAAGAAAAATGGAAAAGGATTTGCAATTTGTGTATCTTTTTCCCCACGTTTCTTTGAAGTGTAGAGACAGCCTAAGTTGTTGCTCATTCGGATCCATTTGTCTTGCCAGACCTTCTTGATATGTGGATTGTTGGAAGGGTGGGAACCCAGTGACCAGTGATGGCTGTTCAGTCTCATGCTCTTGCCTGTGCTTTCATTCTCTCTTTGGATGCAGCGTGCACTGACTGAAGCTGCTCTGCAGTCATGGTGTCAGTCCTGCCCACAGAGGAGGGCAACGTGGCAGTGGTGGTGCGGGTACGGCCCCAGAATCACCAGGAGCGGGAAGGGTGTCGTCATGCTGTGGTGCAAGTGATCGATGACACCATGTTGGTGTTTGACCCTGAGGAACCCCGTCTGTCAGGAGTCTTTGCAGGCTTCCGGGGGCATGATGCCCCCAAGCGGAAGGGCAAGGACCTGAAGTTTGTGTTTGACCAAGTGTTCGGTGAGAGTGCCACCCAGGAGGACGTATTCCAGCACACAACTAAGGAGATCTTGGACGGGGTGCTGAATGGGTATAACTGCTCTGGTAAGGACCCTGCTGTGGCCTTTTATTTGGCTGCATCATCCAGAGTCAACTGAACGCATTGCAGGATGAAATATGCAATGAAACTACTCAAACACTCAGGGCCTGCGCGAGCTCTGCATTTAAAATGTAGTAGAGCCGGGCAGGTAAGCTACCCGGTTCCTACTGCCTTTTAAATTGGAGAGCCACAGCAGGGTTTGGTCCTGGACCTGGTGCGGGCCGGGACTGCCCTGGCTGACTATTGACTAATCGAGTAGTTGATAAAAATTCTATCAACTACTCGATTAGTAAAGTAACCTCATTTTAACATCCCTAGTAAAACCAGAATGGAGTTGTCTAGTGATTATAGCATAGGACGAGGCATCAGAACTCCCAGGTTGTGTTTCTGGCTCTGGGGTGTTTTAGGAGCATAGATCTGTGACTGGCTCTCTTAACATGGCATTCTTGTGCAAAATATTTGAGATCCTTTAATAAGATGCTGTAGACCTATAGTTAACGGGAGAGACACTGAAATCGCTAGACTGCCATGTCCTATTCTGATGTCAGCATTTCCAAAAGGATGTTGAAAATTGCAAAGGATTCAGAGATGAGGTAGAAGGAATGAAGGTCTGGGAAATCTTCCTTGTAGTAAAAGCTTTAGGAAGATCAATCTTATTGGCTTACTCAAGAGAAGGTTAGCAATGACCTGATCGTGTCTATAATAAGTATCTAAATAGGGAGAAGATTGCTGATATTTGATGGCTCTTTAATCGAGCAGACAAAAAGGATAATGAAATCCTGTGGCTGGAAGCTGATGCTACATCAAAAGACTAGACAATAGGTGCAAATTTCCAACAATGAGGGTAATTAACCATTGAAACAATTTATTGAGGGATGGAGAAAATTCTCTGTAACTTGGAATCTAAATCAAGATAGAGCATTCTTATTTTAAAAACCAAAGCATGCTCTGGCTCAGCCCCACAGGGCTCGATGCAGGAATTATTGGGTGAAATTCTCTGCTCTATATATAGGAGGACAGATTAGATTACAGTGGTGTTTTCTGGCATTTGAATTTCTAATGTGCCTCATCTTTCTCTTTCCAGTGTTTGCCTATGGTGCAACAGGCGCAGGGAAAACCTACACCATGCTAGGCTCTGAGAGGAGCCCAGGCATCATGTTTCTCACCATGGTGGAGCTTTACAAGAGAATTGAGGCAATGAAGGAGGAGAAGAGCTGTGAGGTGCTCATCTCTTACCAGGAGGTACAGTGTCTGACACCCCCCTGACTGGCCTTCTGTCTGCTACCACCTTCAAGTAGGAGTGTTGGGGAGCGGTATGTAGGATTACATGGCTCTACCCCCATGGTGTCAGCAAGCCGCTGGGATTCCATAACACTGAACGGAGTAGGTCAGCTGTTCCTGGCTCCATTTTCCCACTTGCTCTTTAGTGTCCTGTCACTGCTTCACAAACACCCTCCAGTGTCCCCCCCCATGCTTGCCTCAGGGTCACTCTTTAGTGTGTTTACACTTGATTCCTTGTTCTAGGTGTACAATGAGCAGATTCATGACCTCCTGGAGCCGAAGGGCCCTCTGGCAATCAGGGAGGACCCAGAGAAAGGAGTTGTGGTACAGGGTCTCTCCTTTCACCAGGTATGTACAAGGCCACTGTACACCAAAGGAGCATGTGAACTCGGCACAGCCACGGGTCTAAGTGGGCTTTGATAAAGGAAGAATAGCTGAGGAGAAGTAATGTTGCTTAAGTCCCTCCCACTGATCCTGAAGAGCTGGGTGAGAGGGTGTCTGCAGTGCTTCCCGGGGATACTCAGGGTTTTGAGGCACCTTGCTCCCACCACCCATGAGGAAGTCTGATTTGTTCCTGCCATGTTTGTCGACACTACCAGGGCCTGGCTATGCAGTGGCCCTTCCAGGACCCACTCACTCTTGAGAAGTTAGCGATAAACACGCATCAGTCCCCAAGTCCTCTGCGTGTGTCCCTGAAAAAACCCCAGGTCCCCTGGGCACTCTCAGAATTTCCCAATCCCTGTTTCCAAAAGAACTTCATTCCACAGCTTACTAGTTACACAGCTCTGCCTTACACATAGATAGCACTGGGACGCCTGGTGTTAAATGAGTACGTCAGTGTAGTAGGCATTGTGGAATGAGAATGATCGGCACAGGGTAAAACCAGAGTACAAACTATACAGGAATTACAGAGTAGGTCACGCTGGCGGGGGAATGGTGCTATATGTGACAGAAGGCATAGAGTCAAAGTACAAATCTGAAATGAATGAACCTGCACCATGGAATCTCTGTGGATAGAAATTCCATTCTTGAACGATAAAAGTATAGCAGTAGAAATAGCCTACTGCCCACATAGAGATTGTGAAATACTCGGGGGCTACATCTACACTGGCATGATTTCCTGAAAATGCTTTTAACGGAAAAGTTTTCCGTTAAAAGCATTTTCGGAAAAGCGCGTCTAGATTGGCAGGACACTTTTCCGCAAAAGCACTTATTGGGGAAAAGCGTCCGTGGCCAATCTAGACGCGCTTTTCCGCAAAAAAGCCCCGATCACCATTTTCACGATCGGGGCTTTTTTGCGGAAAACAGTATTGTGCTGTTTACACTGGCCCTTTTGCGCAAAAGTCTTTCGGAAAAAGACTTTTGCCCGAACGGGAGCAGCATAGTATTTCTGCAAAAGCACTGACAATCTTATATGAGATCGTCAGTGCTTTTCCGGAAATTCAAGCGGCCAGTGTAGACAGCTGGCAAGGTTTTCCGCAAAAGCAGATGATTTTGCGGAAAAACTTGCCAGTCTAGACACAGCCAAGGAGATTAGAGAGGCTACAAAGGCAGAAAACTAATAATAATATGGGGAGGATTTCAGTTATTCTCGTATTGATTGGGTAAGTCATCGCAGGACAGGTACCGAGAGAGAGTTTCAAGACACCACAAATGACTATTTCTTGGATTTGGTCCAAAAGAAACCACTCAGTGACCATAATGTAATTAAATTCAACATTATTGGAAGAGGGGGCCTGCCAAAGAAATGCACCCTGGTAACAATTACCTGCAAAGAGGAAACTACAGAAAAATGAAAGAGCTAGATAAATAGAAATTAAAAGGAAGAGTCACAAGTGTGAAGTGCCTGCAAACTGCATGAAGCCTATTTAAAAACATTGAGGCTCAAACTAAATGTATGCCCACAAAAAATAACCAGTAAGAGACCCAAAAACCTCCACAATGAAAGTAGAGGTGGTTAGAAGCAAAACTGTATCCTTTAAAAATCAGAAATCAGAGCCTAGTGCGGAACATGGACAGGAGCATGAACTCTGGTAGATTAAGTGCGAAGGTATAATCAATCAGGCCAAGAAAGAGGTTGAAGAGCTAAAGACACAAAACCAAAGCTTTTTAAAGAATGACGCAGCCTGCCCGTGAGAAGGGTCGCTGTATGATCACGGTGCTATGGGAGCACTCCAGGAAGACGAGGTCATTGTGGAGAAGCGAAATGAATTCTTTGCATTGGTTTTTACTGCAGATGTGGGGAAGGACCCCCCCTCATCAAAGCCATTTGTTGTAAGTGACAAATAGGAAGAACTGTATCAAATTGGTGTGTCAATAGCAGATGAAGTTTTGGAAAAACTGAATAATTGATAAGTGACCAGGACTTAGAAAGCAGCGGATATTGACCAGGACTTAGAAAGCAGTGGATATTCACTCGAGTCCTGAAGGAACTTAAATATGAAATTGCAGAATGACTGTGTAATTATGTAACCTATCACTTAAACCAGCCTCTGCACCAGATGACTGGTCCATCTAGCCCAGAATCCTGTCTTCCAATAGTGGCTCATGCCAGGTGTCCCAAGGGGAGTGAACAGAACAGGGAATCAGCAAGTGATCCATCTCCTGTTGCCCATTCTGAGCTTCTGACAAACAGAGACTAGGGACACCATCCCCACTAAGTCTGGCTAAAAGCCTATCCTCCATGAATTTATCTAGTTCTTTTTGAACTCTGTTATAGTCTTGGCCTTCACAACATCCTCTGGCAGGGAGTTCCACTGGTTGACTGTCCACTGTGTGAAGAAATACTTCCTTTTGTTTGTTTTAAACTTGCTGCCTATTGATTTCATTTGGGGACCTCTAGTTCTTGTGTTATGAGAAGGAGTAAATGAATTTCCCTTATTTATTTTCTCCACACCAGTCATGATTTTATAGACCTTTATCATATCCCCCCTTTGTCATCTCTTTTCGTAACTGAAAAGGCAGGGTTTTTTTCCCCTCATCCTCTCCCTTTTTTCTGCTATATATTTGTGCCACTGTGCCCCTGGCTCTATTCATCTGAAAAAGTGGGTTGTGCCCACGAAAGCTCATTATATATTTGATTTATTTTTGTGTTAGTCTCTAAGGTGCTACAGGACCATTGGTTGTGTTTTAGGCTTTTTTGAAAATTTAAGTACTTTATATCCACTGACTCCCCCTTGTCCATGCTCATTGACCCCTCAACAACTCCAGTAAATTGGTGAGATATTCTCTTTACAAAAACCATTTGGACTCTTCCCTAACAAATTATGTTCATCTATGTGTCTGACAGTTCTTTACTATTGTTTCAACCAGTTTGCCCAGTACTGAAGTTAGACTTAACTGCCTCTAATTGCCAGGATCATCTCTGGAGCCCTTTTAAAAACTTGGTGTCATATTAGCTCTCCTCCAGGCATTTGGTACAAAAGTTGATTTAAAGGCTAGATTACAAACGACAGCTAGTAGTTCTGCAGTTCCCCATTTGAGTTCCTTCAGAACCCATGGGTGTATACCATCTGGTCCCGGGGGCTTGTTATTGTTTAGTTTGTCAGTTTGTTCCAAAACCTCCCCTAATGATACCTCACTCTGGGAGAGTTCCTCTGAATTGTCACCTAAAAAAATGGCTCCGATCTGGGAATCTCCCCACCCCCTCCCGCCCCGCCCCATCCTCAGCCTCAATTTACACATAGATGGACTGAAGATCGATATCTATGGCCTGAAAGAAACCTGTTTCTCACCTGGTAACAGATCCAAGTCAAGGACCACACTTAGCCAGACTGTTGCTTTGCCAATGGTTGGGAAGGACAGTGAGATGGGGCTTTCAGCAGAGACCTTAAATCACACCCTTTGCCAAACTAGAGTGTAGATAGTCGTCCTAGAGGTTTCCTGTAACTTTGTGTTGTCTCTGCCTCTACCAGTTGACACCAAGAGCTCTCTGGCTCATGGTGTCGCGCCAAGACACTTGGTTCAGGAGATCTATGATGGGATATTGGTCCCATTCACCCAGGGCACATATTCAGACCCAGCTCAGCGGAAGAGTAACTGGCCACCGTTGCTATCTGAAGTTGTGTGTGAAGTGAGCTTGGTCTGAGTCTAGTTCCAGTGGTCAGTACCTGCTCGTTGGCACTCATCAGGGAGTCGGCACAGGCAGGCGCTGAGGTACCTTGGCAGGGTTGCTTGGGGGAAGCTTGCCTCGCTTTTCCCCATGCGGTACCAATTCTGTGGATTGACATGGTTTCTGTTTCAAGGGAGATTAATGTGGCATCTTTTCTCCGTCCTATGCTCGCCTTCCCCACAAAGGTCTGTATGCACCTACTAGGGCATTGGTCGATGTGCTTACCGGTCCCTTGGCATGGGGGAGCATAGCTTCCCTGTATGGGTGCTAGCTGCAAAGACCTCCCATTTGAAGCACTGCATGGTACTAACTCATCTCTCTCTCTTCCTTTCCAGCCCAAATCAGCACAGCAGCTCCTAGAGATGCTGGCAAGTGGGAACAGAAACCGCACACAGCACCCCACAGATGCCAATGCTACCTCCTCTCGCTCCCACGCGGTCTTCCAGGCAAGTGGCAGCAGTGACATCTGCTAGAATGTTGTCAGGACTCTTGTCTGCGGGCTTCCATGCCTAAGTTGAGCCATACGGAGAAGCAGGAAGAAAGTGCCTGCAGCCTTGCAATGCAGGGTCTCCTGTTGCCATTTCTGTTGAGTATAATCAGCAGGGAGACTGTGTCTTTCTCTGGAGAATCTGGCAATAGCTACTGTCAGACAGGACACTAGGCTGGACCGTTGGTTTGTCCTTGCAGCTAGAGCAGACCTAGCTGGGCCATCCACTTCCTCTCTGCCCTGCCAGCGCGGGGTTCTCTTGCACTGTGTGCAGTGCCGGGACTCCTCCCTTCCCTTGAGAGACTCGACTCTCTACTAGATTTCACCGCCAAGAAGCTTTTCTTAACACTCGGCCTAAAGGTTCCCTTGTTTGTTTGGTGTAAATACAAATTATTTCCCTCCCCCTCCCTGCCGTCAGGATTTGGCACGCTTTACATACGGAGCTCCGACTCTCCCCCCGGCCTATCAAGTGCTTGCTGCTCTGGAAGCTTTTCAATTTCTCTTCATACTGTAGTTTCCACGATGGAAAAAACGAGTAACTCCAGGACTGTCCAAAGAGACGTGGATCTCTCTGACTGCAGGCTCTTCTCCAGCTCACACTCAGTCAGCCCAGCTCTCCTCGTTCTTGGCTCCCAGGGTTTCTCTGAGGGACTTTTCCTCACCGGGATTAGCTGTTCTCAAGGTCGAATCTGCCATTGTGCTGACACTGACTAGCCAGTTCCAGTCCAACTTAGGGCACTCAGCCAGGAGGAAGGATTAGCTGTTAGGGCCTGGACCTGCAACTGGCCACTGAAGTCCCTCCTACTGGTGGCTTCTGCTTTTCCTTTAGGCTGGCAATTAAAGGAAGGTACCTCTGTGTACGGAGGTAGGGCTGATTGTTAGTTCTCCTCATAAGAACATTAGAAGGGCCACACTGGGTCAGACTAGCTGTCTGTCTAGCCACGTACCCTGCCTCTGATGAAGGAAAAGGGCAGTTGTCTGGTCATGCATCCATCCCCTGTTGTTCAGCATCAGCTTCTGGCATTTGGAGGCTTAAGGACACCCAGAGCATGGACCTGTCCTCCATGATCTTACCTAGTTCTTTTTTGAGACCACTTTTGGCCTTCGCAACATCCCCTGGCAATGAGTTCCACAGCTTGAATGTGTGTTGTGTGAAGTAGCACTTCCTTGTTTG